TATGGCAAAGTATGATGTATATTTTACCACCAATGCTCCTCAATATTATGCGGAAAGAGACAACAAGCCAACGGGGTAATGGGTTTCAGCTTTAGAACATTCACTAATGCATTGTCAACAGTTTCCGAGGTTTTAAGTCTAGATGCAATGGATTGCCTGCGATACCCTTTAACTTTCTTCTGGAACTCATCTCCACATTGAATGCAAGAACCTGCCATTCTCAATTTTCAGTTAAAATGTCAACTGCGCATGTTTCGTCATTGTCATGTGATCAGGTCACATGACAGAGGTCATCTTGAAATCCGTCGTTCAATCGATTAAATTACGTTCGGTCTAATTATACACAGAAATATATACTTTTCAAGAAGAAATAGTCCTTCATTTTCGGTCAGTAGATACCTAAGATGTTTGTGTTTGCAAGGATAACTTTTATTCGTTTTAAATTTCATTGAAATCGTTCGATAACATCAAAAATAGCGTGCGCCCCGGGATCCCGGGGCGGCGAACTGTGCGGTTCTCAATGGACGCGATCTGCAGCTCTATGGCCGCAACGTAATATCAAAATAGCTTAAGCGGCCAATAAGAGCTGCTAAACTGCAGCAACTTCGCCAGCCAAGGTTCGTTCATTCAGTCATCGCTTCAATTTTACATCAAAAACTGAGCATAATTATCTAGAATGGAAGCAAAAAATAAGTAAATCGTAATGATTAGAACACTGTAAACAGCCATAGTAAACAATGCAAACTGATTTTAAATTGTATAACGGTCACCGGCCCACGGCATCGACGCAGAAAATTGGAGCAAAACAATATTTCCTGATCAATTGCGATGTGTTCCAAATAAAAAATATTTTATTCAAGTCCAAATCAGCTCAATTACTTTAATAAAGAGTTATTGTATAATGCACAAAATGTTGATACATTTTGATGAATATTTACAGCTACAGCTTCAATACCGTAGACGATTTTGGCCCGATCGTCAATAAAACATCATCCGTCTCCAGTCCAGACTGGAAAAAGACACCGGTGATCGGTCGAACCGGTGGAAACAAAATCGTCATTCCCAGAATAACTACGCAAAATAACGATCTAAACTCGAACCATTCGAGCCACAATATTAATATAAAAATGACTTACGTTGCATTTGACAATGATAAACCTACCGAAAAGCCGTGTTATTCTCGGTCGCTAACGTCGGTATAATCCGCCATTTTATTTGAGTGTGTTTGCCACCTGACTCTGCCCGGTGACGTCATCATGTGCGCTATAGAAGGAGGTCTGTGATTCGTTGACTAAAATCGTCGATAGTGGGTCTCGTTGAAATCTTGTTACATAGGCATCGGGTCAGATGTATGTAGGGCGGAATTAAAAAAAAAAAAAAAAACTCAAAATCAAAGTAAAAATTAATAAAATAAAAAGACATTAATAACAAAAGTAATAAAAAATAAAATTAAAATAAGTTTATAGCCAAAATAATTAAAGCCCGTACACTACACCAGATTTTAATCAGATTGCAAATTTGATAACAAATTAAAGAATTGAAATCAATCATTCTAGCTATTTTATTGCCTCTGTGGCTCCATTGGTCAGTTGAACACTCCACATCTTTATTGAAACACTCAATTGTCTCGTCAATCAAATCACATCTAAGTAATTTAAACTAGACAGAATTAGAATTGGCTGCAATCACGATTTGCTGAAGTGCCCAGTTTATTGATTGACCTGCACAACCATCGCAGTATGCAAAATAAATATTTAAAGGAATCTATATTTGCAATTGCCGGTCTGTGACTACACCACGCCACACCACGTCACGCCACGCTCACAGCAGCACGCGCCACACGACGCTCACAGCAGCACGCGCCACACGACGCTCACAGTAGCACGCGCCACCGCAGACACAGCAGCACGCGACACGCGACGCTCACAGCAACACGCGCCACGCCACGGACACATCAGCACGCGTCACGACACGA